AATTTTTGAAATACTGCATTAGAATGCACAAATAAATTGTTAAATAGAGAATATCAACAGTTTTATTATATCTTGTTTGTTTCATTTACAGTTTGCAAATGTTCTCTCGAATGAATCGATATTGATTTTAGTCATGATGTGCTACGCCGTGACGACTATGGATGTCTGTCGAAGATTTCAAAACGATATTATATTAGGAAATTAAGACTTGTGAAATATAATGTTCGAGAACTATTCGACATCTGTACGGATATCGTAAGAACTTGCTTCAACCAACAAAGCAATATCGCTTAGTCATTGCGACCGGGTAGAGTTTTAGTGTGGATGTGGGTTTTCTCTTCATCCACACGAACGTGAATAAAAACTTCTACCCACATTCAAATCCGTCGCCGATCGATACATTACATATAGGAGCAAGTAAAAAAGAAAAATAACGAGATGAAATAAGAGTGATTATTGGGCTTCTCAACTGACACAGCATATATTGAAAACTCTTTAAAACCGGGTATATGTGACCTGTTTGTAGCTAAACAATGTAGAACTATTTGGGCAGTGAATAGTACGTAACAAGTACACCTATACAGTCACAACAATACATTTGGTAGAAAACTATTAGATTTTCTCAGCATTGGAATCGCGATTCGATCGATATATTGATTGAATTGAAATAGGCAAAAAATAGGATATTTGGATGAAAGACGTCAACAAGTTTACTTTGCATACAGTATTCGATTGATAGTGCTCGCCAAAATACTTTTTGTCATATTCAGTTAAAACCCTTAAACATATCATACTGTAAAAGAAAGAAAAAACGCATAAATTTCAATCTTCAAACATTCTTAGACGCTTGTAATTGAATTGAATATTAATCAACCGGATTTCAAAGTTTATATTTTTGCGTTGCTCTATTGTAAGAACTTTTTAGTTGTGAATTCAATTGTTTCATGCTTATTGACATATGAGAAAGATGTCTAGATGTCACTCCAAAAAATTTGCATTGCTCTTTGCAATCAATGAGAATCTAATACTGTAACGATCAATAAGGCCCTGACTGGGTTGATACGTAATGACAAACTGAATAGAGGTGGAGTAGCTTACCGCCACTCTCGGCAATGATGTTTATTCGCTTCTTCACATATCCAGAGTGNAGATTCGGATTCCCCGATCCCGATTTACTTTCGTCAACCTTTATAGAAAATCGTTATTTCCCGAAAATACTTCTTCCTTAGCCCAAAAATCCACTGCAAAATTTTGAGAAACCGATTGCAGATTCGGATTCCCAGACCCCGATTTACTTTCGTCAACCTTTATTATAAATAGTTATTTTCCCGAAAATCCCGCTCCCTTACAATGAAGTACTTTAAAGTACGTTAAAGTACATTAAAGTACATTAAAGTACGTTAAAGTACATTAAAGTACATTAAAGTACTTTAAAGTACATTAAAGTACATTAAAGTACGTTAAAGTACATTAAAGTACATTAAAGTACTTTAAAGTACATTAAAGTACATTAAAGTACTTTAAAGTACATTAAAGTACATTAAAGTACTTTAAAGTACATTAAAGTACCTTAAAGTACTTTAAAGTACCTTAAAGTACTTTAAAGTACATTAAAGTACATTAAAGTACGAAAGTACAAAAGTACGATGTTTCCCCCTTGCAAAAATCTCTCTTAAAACGTTTTAAAATGTCTTTTGAAAACCTTTTTATTTTGCAATATGGCAAATCACGCTAATAAAATGAATTCATAATTAAAGTTTTGGATGCTCGTTTTTCTACCAACTAGTGCAAATGAGAAAAACAGAGTCACGCCCTTATACAGCTGAATGCACTTAATAAACTAATCATCTTTAAATTTAAAATATCTGAACTTCAACTTTGGCCACGCTGGGTCGCCGTTAGCTGGATAAGCTGACATGTCGTTGTCATAGTCTATAGTAGGCTTTTCATAAATTACTGTGATGACACATTGTAGTTTTCTCTTGTCACAAGTTATAGTCAAGATTAAGTGATCAAGCAGAACGCCAGCAAATATCTAGTTGTGGTAGTGATAAGCTTCCAAAAAATGCTTGGAGTAACGAAATTTAACCCGGTGACTGCATTGCAGAAAAAGCAGTGAGTGGCAATTCAACCACTGGCAAAAGCTACTATTGACATTAAAACATTTTTCCTTGGCGAACTCACAACCTCCTGCATGTTGATCGCCGTAGCCTGCTGTGGACCATGAGTACTTGATCATAAGCACGAATCGAGGTAAAGAAAACTGGTTGTGAATGAGAGAATTTAAGTGTATGATATTGTTTCGTTCAGATAAGTTAATAACAATATCATCGAAGTGAATGTGATCGAAAATAAGCTGAGTAATCAATTTTCATTGTCTATTGTAAAAACCATCGAATGGTTGAATACGTGATCTAGTATGAAAGAGAATTTCAAGTCTTTTACAGCCTTTGACGCCTTAGCATATATCTGAATTTCATTAGCCAGACCAATAATTCGAGAGCAAGAGAGATTGCAGTGGAGCAGATAGGCGAAGTAAATGATCTCTCCAGTATTCAACTAATGAAGTAGTGAGTTTTCCCACAGAACTGCACATCACAACGGTGTTCAAGACAGGAAACAATATGTTCTTGATATCTAATAAAAGAGACATCTTTTAATTATATCAGAGACACCTAGTTGGTTGGCTGAATGTTGCTCGTCTTCTCTTTGGCTCCTTCAAGCAAAGAAGACGAGAGATGTCGGATGTGAATGTTGGTGTGGGCGCGTGCGTGTGATCACGAGGCGTAGATGTTTACGTTGTTCTTCTTCCAGTCACATGCACGCTCAAACCCACACTCACTACAGCTGCCTTGCGGCATTTATTCTATGTATATATATTACCATTAGGAGAACATAAGTGTATTTGAAAATATACAGACGTTTTCGCAATATAACGATGTCAAAGGAACCAAATAAATTTATAGAAAAGTAATTCAAAATGCCCACATTTTCGAAATGACACAATTGCAGTGTACGCTTATCAATTATAAAAATTGTTAAAATTTTGATTTATTAATTTGGCGTTTTATTAAATCAATTATTTTGATACTCGAACAGTACATCCTGTTATAACAGTCAGAATTTGTGAGATCCACAATCTGGCCCTACAGGAGCCACTCTAACCGGGTTTTTATATTAGCATTTATAAACGTCAACATTCTGATTTCATGTGACTCTTGACTGATTAAGGTACTCTATATATCTTAGATAATGTCGATTTCTTTAAAATCTTTGTCATTGGAACCAGCGACTAGCGAGGAAACTGTTCTAGCATTTCCAGATTCCCAGCAGTACCAACGTCCAGTATCTTTATTAAGCAATGGAAGAACCAAAGAATCACCTTTTGCAGCACCCTCAGAATTGAAAAAGGATAAAAATTCAGAACCGCTTGAAGTTTCACGAGGGAACATATTGTTTCCCTTACCATTGCACTCCGAAAAGCCGACAAAAACATTGGAATGCGACGAAAAAACACCAGATGCACATGTTTACAGAGATAGTAGACTGATACGGCTTACCGGTATTCATCCATTCAACTGCGAACCGCCGCTGAGTATTTTATATGACAGTGGGTTTCTCACTCCTACCGAATTATGGTTCGTGCGAAATCATGGGGCAGTACCAGAGGTGCATGATTCAGAAGTTTTGCATTGGAAATTTTGTATTGAAGGAATGGTGGAAGCGCCATTAATACTTACATTAGCCGAACTGCTGACATTCTCTCAAGTGACGCTTCCAATCACAATAGTCTGCGCAGGTAATCGACGAAAAGAGCAAAATGTAGTACGAAAAGGAAATGGATTTACTAAAATTTTCATAAAACATGTCATTGTTTGAAGAAGACACAGGGGTTGTATGAACGAACAAGCAAGATCGGAAATGCATTTCGTTTTTTAGCACTGCGTCTAAGAAGCAGAGGACCTGATTATTCATGAAATGCAGTGCATAGCGTAGCAGAAATGGATATTACCGGTTACCAAATAGTTGTATGCAACAGACGCTTCGAGATCTTCTCAGATATTTTGTTTAAAGGGTGTGGGTGTTGGTATGTGGGTATTTGTAGGTGTGTGGGTATTTGTAGGTGTGTGGATGTTTGTGGATATGTATGGGTGTGCAGGTGTGGGTGTGAGTGCGACTCTTCTCCTCAATACAGCCAAACCCACATTTACACCCACACCTACACCCCGCCTTTTTTAAATTCTTATTTTTTTAGCGGAGAAACGGGATTACAAGTTCAATGACTCAAAAAACGCGTAAAAAATGGGTGTCTAGTTACATAAGTATCTGTATATATAATAATAATAAAGCTTTATTTAAAAAAGCGACTCCGTGGTGCCCTGCATCTTGACATGCTCTTTGCAACAACAAAAAATAAATATACAGGACGTGCTTAGACAGAGAATTTTGGGTTGCGCGTTAAAAAAAAGCAGAAACTGAGAAAAAACAAAAAAAGATCTTCGTTTTTTTTGCAAAAAAAGTCTATTTTTCGAATAGAGGATGACAGAAATTCATAAATTTTTCTGGAAAACAAGAGGTGTAGAATAAAAATTTTGACATTTATAAGAGATCCGAAGACGGGTTATCTTCCCATCCATTTCTCTCAATTTCGAAATTTCTGTCAAAAAATTGCCTTTTTTGAGGGAGGGGAAGAGTTCTTAAGCGATTTATTTGATTATATTACAAATTATCTAGCTTGTTCTCCAAAACACGATTTACAATCACCAGCGAGTGGCTCTATTGCTGCAAAACTCCTATAGCAAGTATTTCTGGATCTACGACGCACATGTTTTTAGTTCTCGAGACCATAGTAATACTAAATATAAGTTGCCAAGAAACGTAATTTTCGTATAGTCTCTAATTGGGGAAGTGCAGGGCACAGTACTGCTTTATTCACGGGAGTTTTGATCAATGAAGTACTTAAGATTGCTAAACCGAAACATGGAGCTCGATACATGTGCATGGAAGGTGCTGACAAACTTCCAAATGGTTATTATGGAACAAGTATTCGGTTATCAATTGCCATGGATCCTGCCATGGGAGTTATGCTTGCGTATAAAATGAACGGTGAACCATTGACACCCGACCACGGACGTCCACTACGTATCGTTATTCCTGGACAAATAGGTGGAAGAAGTGTAAAATGGTTGAAACGGATCATAATTACCGACAAGGCAAGTGATAATTGGTATCATATATTCGATAACAGAGTCTTGCCGACCATGATAACACCCGAAGTCGTTGCTGAGCAGAAACATTGGTACAATGACGAACGATATGCTCTATACAGTCTCAATGTACAAAGTGCCATATGTTATCCAGCTCATGAAGAAATCGTAAAAGTACAAGAAGGCAAATCATATCCTGTGCAAGGATATGCGTATAATGGTGGTGGAGTACGAGTGGGAAGAGTCGAAGTATCGTTGGATCAAGGCCAAACTTGGAAACTGACAAACATTGACTACCCGGAGGATCAGTATAGAAACGCTGTACAGTATCCGAGGCTCTACGGCGGAACATTAGACATGACGAATCGAGAGCATTCTTTCTGTTGGTGTTTTTGGAAAATCGAAATTCCTACCATGGAAATGTCTATAGCAAAGGACATCGTTGTTCGAGCCATGGATGAAAGCATGAATGTTCAGCCTCGAGACATGTATTGGAATGTTCTAAGCATGCTCAATAATTGTTGGCACAGATTGACTATTACTAAAGAACAGGATGGGTGCAGTCTGAAATTCGACCATCCCACTGTACCTGCATTGACTAAAGGTGGTTGGATGGAAAAAGTAAAGGAACAAGGTGGTGAACTAACGGATGGCTTCTGGGGTACTCGATCTTTAGTAGTAGGTCATTCCAATGAAAAGTCATCGCTAGTTGTCAAGATGACTGATGATCATGTCAAGAGTATTATTACTGAAGAAGAATTATCAGAACATAACAAAGATGGTGACGCTTGGTTTTCTGTCAACGGGCATGTTTATAATGCTAGTGAATATCTGAAAGATCATCCCGGTGGCTCTGAATCAATTATTTTGGCGAGCGGAGCTGATGCTTCTGACGATTTCATCGCCATTCATAGTAATACTGCCAAAGCCATGTTAGTTAAGTATCATATCGGCATTCTTAAAATAAATCCATCAAAGAAGACGGTGATCGATGAAACATACCCAGATTCAGAGCAAGATATTTTCCTTAATCAAAAGCATTGGAATACAGTTACTTTAAAGGCAAAAGTTGCACTCAATCATGATAGTGTACGACTCACATTTGTGTTGAAGCACTTTCAACAAAAATTAGGAGTGCCAATAGGGAAATATCTTTGCCTTCGATGTATCTCCTCGTCAGGTGAGAAAGTAGTTCGATCGTATACGCCAATATCTGAAACAGATCAAGCTGGAGAATTTGATTTGGTTGTCAAATTGTATAGAGCTTGTGGAGATCGGCCTGCTGGGAAGATGTCTGCATGCATCGATCTTCTGAAGCCCGGTGATGTTGTTGAATGCAAGGGGCCATTTGGAGACTTTGAGTATCAAGCAGGAGGATTCTTCAAAACCAAACATTTCGTTCACCGAGTCAGCAACTTTACAATGATTGCAGGAGGAAGCGGAATTACAGCAATTTACTCAATTTTGCGATTTGCGAATAGAGATGGTATCAAGTGTCATGTGATATATTGTAACAAAACCGAAGAGGACATTCTTCTGCGCCCGCAGCTTGATGGTTTCAATGGACTGTACCATTGTCTTTCACGTCCGAGAGATGACTGGATAGGATATTCTGGAAACATTTCTCAAGATCTTGTCGGACATGTGCATGATGGATTCTTGCTATGTTGTGGACCAACTGGGATGATGGATAGCGTTCGTAAGATTGCGGAAGTATGTGGTTGGGACATGAAGAAACAAGTAATTTTGCTATAAAGAAACAACATAAAGTACTGTGACAAGTCGCTTTTTACATCGGGTACTTTCTATTTTCACTATAAAATGTTCTGCTGAACGGAATTTTTCAAACAGCATGTAGTCGAGCATGTGTATTAGTGCTGGTGTAGGGTATAAATGAAGATGTGCATGGGGAATGTGAATGCAAGCGAGGATGGATTGTGAGTGTCGGTACAAATGTGAATATAGGTGTGAGGGTAGGTTTTGACGTCCATGAAGAGTGATGTACACCTGCACTTGCGCTCACACCCATACCTCAAACTCTTTGTTTATGGGTAACAAATCGAGTTTGAACCTGTTGAGTTCAGCGTAGCTTTAACATTTGCTAAAGCCTCCATTTCTTTATAAATATGTTTTTTTTATGTCAAATTTACGTTGTTGCAACATTGACTGAATCCAGGTTAGCCGAGGTCTAAGAAACCTACTCAATGTAGTACAAGTTCATAAATCAGTTAGAACTCTTGTGAAAATAATTTCCTACCTTTATATCTTGTCATACTTATGGAAGCAATATTTGATGATTCAATAAACTTCCATCATTTTAAATCTAAAGTGACATTCATTGAAGCTAGGTTTATAGTGTCGACTGAAAAGTTGATTTAGAAGAAAGCGAGTTTTTTTCTGTCGTTATAGCTATAGTGCAGTTATTCGTCTCATTGTCGATCTTCTATGTGACAGAAATAGCTCGCGTCTCTTTATGATGGGATATCTTTTTGGTGGTGTCATTGCAACTGTTTTCACACCATTTAGAGGTGAGAGTGAGGCTGAAGAGAAGATCCACATTTATACCGCCTCCTCAAATTACCTTGATCATAACTGAGCAATGTATAATACTTATCAAAAATAACTTTCATTGCGTCAGTCAGTTGGCTTTGTTGATTGTCTTTCTTATTACTATGGGCTACCGCTTGATCATTATGCGTTCCAAGTACAGAACATTCAAAATTGAATTAATCGACTTTTTGCACAACACACTATTCACTGCCTTTTTTAATTCGTATCGAAAATAAATGAACAAATCACACCTATTTGATCATTCAATGGTTGTCAGCATTCATAACATGCACATTCACATGGTCACCAACAAATTATGCATAGGAAAGAGGGTGTTGATTCAACGTAGATCGATAGGTACGGTATGGAAAGTATGTCTTGCCAAGGGGAAAAAGCAGATTCGGTGGATTCCGGATACCATGGGAATCCAGAGGATCCGGTGGAAATCCAGGGAATCCGGTAGAGATTCAAGAGATCCAGTGGGGATACAGGGGATGCATATCATATATTGCAAATACTAGTGATATGAGTTGATAAAATAGAGAAAATGCAAAGTTTATAAGACATACATGATGCACACAGAGCGGATCTGTATTAATAAAGAATTTTATTCACCAAAAAGAAGTCTTTAACGCTTTTTCCGCTTATTTTAATACTATACGCCATTCTTTTACGAGGTGTAATAGTTAGACAAAACCTCTCGCCGATTTTAATAAGGTAGATCCAAATGGCTCTAATTGTTAAAAACGCTGCAGCTGTCCAGGACATTTATTGGAACGAATTGATATATGAATTAGATAACATAAACAGCAAGTGAGATCTTTTCAACTCGATTTGTTACACTTAGTTCACTTTGAAATGTGATGCATCGTGGAGAGCTCGAATAATTTGGTACCCAACTACTCGAAAAAATGCTTTGTTCTGCTGGTATTCAATTTTTAGTCAGATCACCAACACTCAAAAGTCACATATTCCCATTCATCATTTTTCTTCATCGGTGATGGTCCTATTTATATTCTCTTTTCTATACAAGCACGTAAATATATAGCTATATATACGTCTTCTATTCTTTTTTTTTCACTCCGTTATTTGGATATTCAATTTATTCTTAATTAACTTATTAATTCTTGGCACAGTATTAACTGGCCAGGTTGGGGGTCGAACCACTTTGCCAACAAGTTCGGGCTCTCCCTTCCGCTTCTACAATTTGCCTGAAGCTCCACAGCTTCAACAGCATCAAGTTAAAAGTTCATCAAGTTTCGTTAATTCCAAGTATACGGACAACAATTATCATCACGTTCATCATCATCAACTGATAAGAAATAATGATCGAAATTCACCAAATCCTCATTATATCAAACAAAAACAAACGCGTTCACCTCGATTAACACACAGTCGAATCGAAAAAGTAGACACGTCTGATTCACCTGATACACAAGTACATTCTTATGCAACACATCCATATACAACAGGACGCTCAACTAAGAAAAGAAACAAAGTGGTAATGAAGCACCAATGGAAAGTTATGATGATTCACCAGCTTTTCAACAACCACGTCCACATGATTATTATGTTCAAGCAAATACATTGTCGTCCATTTTACCATCAAATACAAATTCAAGCACAAGTACAATTACAAACGAAGCATAACGTTTTGCAACATCTCGTTATCCATTTCCTCCCTTTATTCTTAAATTCAATGCTGGAGAAATAAATGATAAAGCAGTTATTGATGAATTATTGAATTACGGTAAAGTAAATTTTTCTTTTGATCTTAATCTAGTTGGGTTTAGAACGTCGTCAAACAAATGTAATATAAATGAATGTAATCTTTTAATTTTTGTTAAAAATAGTTCATCTTTTCCCTTTCTTTATTCGGACATCAAATGACCTGATCGATTATTCAATGAAACATGTACCATTGCTAAACAACCATCAATTCCACCATAACTTGCGGTGATAATCACAAATGTTAGTGATAAAATTGATTTTACTGATTTTGAAAAAGAATTAAGAAACATTTATGCTAATGTGCTTAAAGTTATTCAATTAAAAAAGCTTGTTAGCGCAGCCCCTTTGGGGCTGAAATGTGGAACTCACATATGCTCTCTAGCCTCATTCAACTAATATAAAATACGTAAACTGAAAAATCTCTCCTAGACTAAAGTTGTTNATGGCTCGTATTTCTGGTCTTGATCCAGCCGGTCCGTTTTTCGAAGGCAAAACTGCTCCCGTACGCCTCGATCAAAGTGATGCGAAATTTATAGATGTTATTCATTCGAATACAGACATTGCTTTGGGTGTCGGCCTCGGATCGGATGATCCATCCGGTCATGTAGATTTCTATGTCAATGGTGGCAAACAGCAACCAGGCTGTCCTTCAGTGTAAAACATTGAAAATTCCCCATGAGGTACGACTTTCTAACTGCCTGTTCAATCTTTCTTTTGCAGTGGAACACTCATCGGTGGATTATTTTCGGGTCAGAGCGAAAGTAAGATTGGGTATTTGATTAGAAACGTTGAATACAGTTATTCGTTCTTTTTTCTATAGGTGGCTTTGAACAAACATCATGTTCCCACAGTGAGTAACGAAGTTAAGAATCTAACGAACATTGATGACTTATTGAATTGTTGCAGGTCGCTCTCATGGTTATTTCATTGAATCTATTAAGTAAGTGTTCTTACTTCATCCATCATAATTATATAAATAATTAAATTAAAGTTCACAATGTCCATATACTGCGTTTCCTTGCCAAGACTTCGTACGTATGAAATTGATGAACTTCAAAGACGAATAATAAATCTTAACTATTGTCTAGGATAGTTTCCGTAGTGGAAAATGCTTGGTGTGTTCTGCATCCAGCTGCAGTCAAATGGGTGCTGAGGGATAGAAGCATTTTTGAAATCATTCCATCTTTTTTTGTCTTTAAAAGGCTTTTATTCGATGTATTCACCTGGTCGTGGCAATATGTATTTGGCTACCAGGAGTAGTTCGCCGTTTTGCGGTAAAATCTGATTTGATATTTATGTCATTATTCATTTTTTTATTTCGATATCGGCAGGTTATCACTACTATGTAGAACTTGTGCTTGGCCAAAATGCAGCCAAAACGATCGGCGAAATTTATGTTGCTATTAATTCAAACTATGAAATCATAGCAAATGTCAGTATGACTCACAAGTAAAATGAATAGAATATAAAGAAGAAGACGACAATATGAATTCGTTTGCTTTTGACTCTAGAGCAAATGTAGATTTAAAACCGGGTGATGTTCTCCGACATGTGTTCAGCTTCAATATCGATCTAGGCCAAGTAGATTATGCTATCGTCTATTTCAATAAAGGAAAAACTTGTCAGTAGCCAAACATCTGTTGTGGCACTGGTGAAAGAGAAAATCATTTTTTTTTCTAGTGTTCAATTTGGGTGGTCCATTCGCCAATGAGATTGTCATTTCTCGTCTTCGTATAAGATCAGTTGAAAATACAATCAGGTGTGTACCGTCGACAAGATCATTTCATTCCTAAAAATCTCTCTTTTTCTCTTTTTTTTTTTTTTTATTAATCTTAGATACAGCTCGGCTTGTGACAGCAATGTTATAGTGTCAGCGTACCAAACGCAGACAATGCTGCTGAATAGTTCCGATTGCGACAATTAACCTTTTTGAAGATGAAGAAAATCATATTTTAAATTTTCGTTGTCTAATAAAATCCGACAACGTATATTTCCCATCGTCAATCAATTGCCACTATATTCTTAAGCTGAATATCTTTTTTTTTGTTTTTTATTATGCATGAGTTAACCTTATGACCCTGACGATCATAAAGGAACCTTTGAGCTTGAAACATAATGTGCCTGTTATAAAATAAGAGAGAGACAAAGAAAAAAAGAGAGAGAGAAAAAATTTTTAAAAAAAATTACCAAGCCAGAGTAAGAACGAAAGAAATGGATAAAGATAAAGAAAAAGATAAGATACAATAGAATGATCGGTATGAAGCTAGCACGACGACTAGCTACCACGACGGATTTAGATGAGCTTGGAATCTGTAACCCTGGGCGCTGTTGGGGTGGAAGTTGAGTGAGGGTGCTCAATAATGTGTACCCAAGCCAAGGGGGAAACGGCGGATTTTCGGGATTTTGAATCCCAATAAAAATCCAAAAATCCCATGATAATCCCAAAAATCTAATTTAATCCCAAAAATCCCATAAAAATCCTAAAAATCCCATAAAAATCCCGAAAATCCCATGATAATCCCAAAAATCTAATATAATCCCAAAAATCCCATAAAAATTCTAAAAATCCCATAAAAATCCTAAAAATCCCATAAAAATCCCGAAAATCCCACGATAATCCCAAAAATCCAATGTAATCCCAAAAATCTCATGTGAATTCCAGAATTAGGATTAAAATTATTATGATTTTATGATTATTTTAAAGGGCAACTATGCACGAGTAAGTGTAATCCCGTGACTATCCGACTTTTTCTTATAAAAATGGTGCGCATTCAATCTCTTCGTGTTTTAAAATTTATAGTTCCATAAAGATACTGTAGTGAATAGTAGCACTATNGTAACCTACCATTTCTAGTATGGTAGAAGCAGGATGGCAATTGATGACAATATGTATTGCATGTGTTATATTAAAAAAAAATCCCTAAATTGAAAAATCCCTAAATTAAAATCCCTATTTGGTCACCAGTATGAACGTTACTTGATTAATTATCCATAAATGTGGATTTCATTTAGGGATGAATTCAGGGAACCTGATTTGTGGAAAATGATAACCTACCTCTAAAAACGTCTTATTGAATATTGATAATCAATATAACAGAAAATCAATTACTCAACGTTATCTGATTCCACCAATTCTTTTTCCATGTATTTTTCCTTTTACTCGGCTCAATAATAATTCTGCATTAGATGCTGCTCAATAATTTATTTATTTATGGAAAAAATGTCATCTTCTTTGGAAAATACTCTTATGAGCACATGAATATAGATTTTGATTTTGAACCATTAAAAAATATTGAATTACTTTTACACAGAATGCAAGCATTTGTTTCTTATGAAAGTAAATATTTCATTTGTAAATGATATTCTTAGTGCTATTTCTGATCACGAGTTATCACAACGATTAATTATACAATTAGAAACGAATTAGAATCTATATAAAAATGGAACATTTAATCAACAGAGTTAAAGTCATGCAACAAGAACAGACGACAACGGTGAAAGATGGTTGTCAAATTTTTACGTCTAATTTTTTCTTTCCTTATATACATGTTATGAAAAGGATCCAGGTCATCCATATGATCCATTGGCTTTTGCTGTGCATTATTTTCGTTCAATAGCTCAAATTAAACATAATGCTAAAGAAAGATATTAATCTTCTTTATATTTATTAATTAATTTTTGATTCATTATATTCTATTATCGATTCTAACACTTTTTTTTGTTACTAACTTCAATACAGATTCTTTTTTTTATTTATTGATCCTTTATCTTATGGTAAATTGCACGGTAAAATTCTCTCATGTGTGTTTTCTGAATAGAGTTTTAAAGATTATATATTGTGCTTACTATTCATGGGCATCAAATAATCGTTCTGATATTTCATTTATCATTCATTGACATTCTGTAATCGTTTTTTTTCCTAAAAAAAAAAGTTCAAATGAAATACATTTTTATTACGACGATGACTACTTGGTGATCTTATAATTTCTAATCATTCATCAGAACATTGATCAATTGAAGTTATTCAAAGTTTGATAAAATAGCACATGATACTATTATTACAGATTCTCATGAATAGTAAAAATAATAGACCTGAAATTTTTTGTAACTATTTAGTATTAAGTGAGTACAATAATCTTCATCGTTTTATGTTCACGACAATTTTTATCTCTTGATTGATTCTTTCTATGAATATTTACAATATTTATCATGTTAATGCAAATGTAAAGAACATTGTTATCTCGATAATGATCCATTCTCAAACACGAATGTGATTACCAATTAAAAAGCTAGATATTGACTTTAGATTTGCATGCTCTTACTTTTTACAAGGATAATAAAGCATATTTTTGCTTTCTATTCAATTAAATAAAATCAAGAGTAAGTCTTACAACTGAAAGAAATTATTACGAAGTAATATGAACTTTGACTAAAGTATTATGTTATTTATATGCAAAATCGTCAAAAACTGGACTGATTTTACCGAAACTATTTAAATATATATTGATCTGTTTGGCTATTTCGTTTCACATTGTTTTTTTCTTCTTGTCTTTAGATCATCGTCCTATTGTGTTTGTGTATTTTTCTATTAGCACTTGGTTAACTATATTTAATAATATTATGTACTGTTTTATTTGTAATAATTAATAAAAAAATCGAAGAAAAACATTTTCTTCAGATTGTTCAAACAAATTTTTCAAGAACATGTGTAATTAACATACTTCATAAGAGAATACATCATCTAGGTGGAACAATATGATTTGTGTTCCCTGCTTTCATTATGTGTACGATGCGTAATGTGCAATTAATTGAAAAAAAAGACCTTTTGCTTTTTCCTTTCTATCCTTGTATTTTCTCATACAGACATCAGCAAAAGAAAGATATTAGTTTCTAACTGTCCTTAAGTTGATTTATTAAAGACGACTTAAAAATCAGTCAATAATTGTTGTTTCTCTTTTCTGGGTAAGTCTTATACCGAGCTATATGAAATGTGAAATTCAATATTTAGTAAATATATTATTAATACAATCAGTTTTGTTTCGAAAATAAAAAAAATATCAATTATAAAACTTCAAAATTCACATAAGCAAAAAAAATAAAAAAAGCTCGATCATAGACTTGAAGACGGAAAAAAACAAAAATATCAACAAGACACAAAAGTAACAGTTCAAATTCACCAACTCTCATAAAAAAAAATAAGAGTAGACATCTTCACTTCATCAACCTATTTGTTATATGTTCATATTATTGATATATTAATAGGAAATATAAGAGTATTATTTGATCGTTTTCAGACACGTGATCTCATATATCCAAATTGAAAATCTACTTATCGGTAGTGCGACCAAAAGTTAACAGTACTTTCTACAATCACTACAGACATCTAACCTCTTGACTTTTGATTCGTTCTTTATTCACGTTTACTGTCTCAGCATAAATATGTAACCAAGTTGTTGTTGTTGTTGTTGTTTTTTTATAGCTGTTTTAATGTTTACTTTCAATCCTATATTTTAGACTTACGTGTGTGTGTGTGTAATTTGTCAAAAAAAAAAATAGTATGTCATTTGCTGTATTACGTCGCCTTGCTATCACATATCGTACAACATCATCGATTCATTATCGACGTACTTTTGTCACTTCTTCACCTCTTCTTGATGAAACGAACACTACCAGTAGTAGTAGTACAATTAATTCAAGTGATTCACCACGTACAGTAACTCTTATTCCAGGTAAATAAATTTGTTTTCTTGTTTTTTTTGTATCAAAAATAAATTTATTTTTCATGTAAGGCGATGGTATTGGCCCGGAAATTTCAAATAGTGTTCAAAAAATATTTGATGCTGCAGATGCACCAATAAATTGGGAATCAGTCGATGTAACACCTGTCAAATCAGTAAGATATAATTGTTTATAGACATCATTTTTAAACTTTTGTTTCTCTTCTTTAGGCTGATGGAAAATTTCGTATTCCTCTTCGAGCTATTGAATCAGTGACAAAAAATCGAATTGGTCTTAAAGGACCATTAGCAACACGTAAGAAAAAAGAATATTTTTGAAAAAAAAAAAAAAAAACTAGTTATATTATCAATATTCATTTTTCAAGCGGTTGGCAAAGGACATCAATCTCTTAATCTTGCTTTACGCAAACAATTTAATCTATTTGCTAATGTACGACCATGTAAAACTATTGAAGGTCTTAAGTATATTTATTTTGAAAACAAAAAAAAAATAACAAATTATTATATAAATAGGTTATCAAACACCTTATACAAATGTTGATCTTGTTACAATACGTGAAAATACCGAAGGTGAATATTCAGGTATTGAACATACAATTGTACCAGGTGTTGTACAAAGTATTAAACTTATAACTGAACATGCATCATTACGTGTATGTGAATATGCATTTCTTTATGCTAAACAGCATAAACGAGAAAAAGTTACTGTTGTTCATAAAGCAAATATTATGTAAGATAAAGAAGATTATTTTTCTTATTCAATTCTTTTGATTTGTTTTTTTTTGAAAATATTTAGGCGTCTATCTGATGGTTTATTTTTAAGAAGTGCACGTCAAGTAGCTGAAAAATATCCAGAAGTTAAATTTGAAGAAATGTATCTTGATACAGTTTGTTTAAAAGTTAGTTGTTAGGAAAAAAGAAAAAGAAAAGAATACTTTTTATTTGTTTAACTTTTTTTTTTTCTATTCTAATAGATGGTTCAAGATCCAACACAATTCGATTGCCTTGTTATGCCAAATTTATATGGTGATATATTAAGTGATCTATGTGCTGGTCTTATTGGTGGTTTAGGTTTAACACCAAGTGGTAATATTGGTGAAAATGGTGCAGCAATTTTTGAAGCTGTTCATGGTACAGCACCTGATATTGCTGGACAAGATAAAGCTAATCCAACAGCATTACTTTTAAGTGCAGTTATGATGTTACGACATTTACATATGTATGATAAAGCAGAACGAATTGAAAAAGCTTGTTTTGAAACAATAAAAGATGGAAAGGTTTGTAATTATTCATTTTGCATTTGAATATCATTGCTTGACTAAGATAGATAGGAACTTCAAGATTTGTATGATCAGTATTAAAAAGTTTAGACCTATTGTTTTCGAATGGCTCATGAGATTGTAAATATCGCTGTTTTAATGAATTTTTTCATTATGTTTAACAATAACTCGTTATTTTTCGTTTTTTTTTTAAGTAAGTCAATGTGTTGAAAAGGACTTGTTTCTTAAGACACCTTTTCATTTGTTGTAATAATGAAGAAATCTCTGAATAAGTATGTTATGTGCATATCAAAATTGAGAATATTTCATTACACTTTTTTTCCCTCTTCTATTGTGCAGCTAATATTACATTGTTTGCATGAGTCAATATTTACCATTGGTTGTCTGCTTTTCTATTATTTTTTTTTGCAATGAGTCGTAAGACAATAGTTTTACGACATACTCAAAATAACAGCTTTCTGTCAGAGAAGCAAATAAAAATACAAATTTATGATGGAAACATTGAAATAAAAAAGAAATGTTTTTGAATTGTGTCACATCGTTATTCTCAAAAAATATTTCAAGTTCGTAAAAGTTAAAATTAATAATCCAATCTAACTCTACCAACCCTTCTTTTAGCGTCATGCAATGTTGTGTTGATATGGAATACTTTTCTTCCTTCTTCAGCTTCTTTAATTTGAGTAATATATTAAATAAAAATTCTTTCTTTCTATGTTTCTTTTAAATGGCGTTGTTCACTTTGCCGTACATCATGGAAATACTTCTTCATTATTGCACTGTAAAAAGCAGCAACCTAATTTAAATTACATATATATCATTCGGTAGATTTTTCAAAGTTCTACTAAATGACACTATTGCGTTGGACAAACAAAATGTTCATGAGAACCAAAATCGATTAAATATTAGTCAAAAAAGACATGTATTGCAGAGCCTTGCAAAATCTATCAAATGATATATTATGCAAAGTGAATCATTGCTTTTCAAAAGCACAATAATGAAGGAATTTTGTCATGAGTGTTTTCATGTTGTGTACACACAAAAGAACAACCTCATTTAAAAAAAAAAGGAAAGAAACATTTCATATAAATATAGCATTGTGTGTCGTTAAAGGAGATTGACAATATCAAGTATTTAGTCGTCTGTGCGCAACCGAAATGAAGTCTAACAGTCTATTTTAAAGGCCAATCGACGTGTGACAGTGAAAGTATGTTTTCTATGATAATCGACATGTTATAAACATATATGTTACGCTCACAGAATGTGTAATAGTTAGATGAACTTCTACAAGGTCGAATAATTTTTATTGTAAATCTTTACATGTTATTAGAGGTTTGGGTTTTAAATTAAATGTATCTCGACTTTTGTAAATATTCATTTATGTCTTTGTATATTTAGGTGCTCACTGGTGATTTAGGTGGTAAATCAAAATGTTCTGAATATACATCTGAAATTTGTAGACGCATTAAAGATTCATCCTGATTTTCTTACAAATCATATAGTCAATCGTTAGATTTAGGTATTTACCATTTCTATTTGTGTTTTGTTTACCAAAGAAATAAATAAATATAAATCTCTTTTTTTCTTTCTTTCTTCTGATTTTCATAACAAGCATTTTAATCAAGCTATTTATTCATTTTTATTTTCATCAATATGTTAACATGATACGATATATATTTATATTTGTGAATATCTGTTTTTCATGTTCGTTTGTCTTTTTTAGAATAGAAATGATTGCGTATAATTATCTATTGATCAATACGCAATAAAATGGAAAAGAAAATCAATAGATGATTAATGAAAACAAAAAATCCATATATCTTCGGTGAAGTAGTCTTAACTTTCGGAATACATACGAAATAGAAAAACAATCAACAGTTCGTAAATATTTTGTTTTTACTTCATTTACTTTTGATAATCTATCAAATTTTGTTTACAGCTTAACCCTTTGAGTCCTGAATTTTTTCTATCCAACCTAATTTGATGAAACCACTAGGAATGATAGAGCTAGGTGTGCTAATGAAGTTCCACTATAGGACAGATTTTGTTAATCCCATATTTTTATCCGAGGGTGGGTGCAAAATTGGGAAAAATTCGAGAGTAGGCTCCAAAGATGTCTTTGCCATTTGGCTCAGGAACAAGCTACAGACCTGGGAGTTTCAGCATTAGATAGAGGACAGTTAATCGATTCTAGAGCACTAATAAAAGTTAAAATTCT